GGTCAGTAAAGTATAAGGTATGTGGTGAAATGTTTATAGAATCTGGACCTTCAGTAATTTAGTGGTAATTTAGTGGTACAGCACTTAACTAAACCCAAGATCAAAACACTCCTGAGCTCTGGGATTCAGATCTCAGGGCCGGCTCTAGGCACCAGCAAAACAAGCAGGTGCTTGGGGCAGCACATTTCTAGGGGCGGCATTCCGGCGCCGGCCATACCACCCCTAGAAATGTGCCCCCCCCAGCTCGCCTCCACCTGCTCCCCGAGTGCCCTGCCGCCATTCTGCTTCTCCCCCCTCCCGCCCAGGCTTGCTGCGGGCGAAACAACTGTTTGGCCCGGCAAGCCTGGGAGGGAGGAAGGAGAAGCCGAGCGGCGGCACACTCGGGGGAAGTGGCGGCGGTAGAGCAGAGTGGTTCCTCTACCCCCCCCACCTCTGCTCCGCCTGCTCCCCTGAACGCACTGCCTCTCCCTCTCCTGAGAGGGAGGGGGGAAGAAGCGGAGTGGCGGCGTGTTCAGGGGAGCAGGCGGAGCGGAGGTGAGCTGGGGGGGGAGGCGCAGGAAGCAATGGAGGGAAGGGGAAAATGTGGCATGCCCGGGGGAAGTGGGGGGGGGGCCCGGGGATTTGGGGAAGGGGTTGGGAAGGGGCGGAGCTGGGGGCAGGGAGGCACGAAAAAAAAGCGGGGGCAGCCGAAAATGGTTTTGCTTGGGGCGGCAAAAATCCTAGAGCCGGCCCTGCCAGATCTAAAACTGACAGCTGGCCTCTGTTGCTATAGTAAGCTTTTTGGAGACCCAACCCTTACTCTCATGCGCCTCCCACACCTTACATGTGTGACTGAATTAAATTATTGCACACAGGAGCAGCCAACCTAGGTGACAGAAATACCACTAGGACAAACTATAGTTACTGGAAAAAACTGAGTGTCTCAGGAGATATTCAAGATTACAAGAAAGCATATGGTAACAGACCAGGGTAGAGCTAAGAACCTCCAGTTCAGGCATCCTGATTCAGTTTTCATCTGTGCCAACTTGAAGAGCCAGCTACTGTCAGTCATGTCACTTATTTTAGATAATTAAAAGTGGGTCAAAACCTATGAGAGGCGTTTTTGAAATGCCTTTGGATTACTTTGGATGATCAATCTCTATATGTCTTTAACACAGAAATGCTAGAAGTCAACACTCGTGAATGAAAAAGATATCAAATGGATTTGAAGCTGAGCTGGTAACTCCCTCCCTACTCCCATATGGCCTACTGTGGTTACCCATTTCTTACAGCAAGAAACTCATGACAGGGGGAAAAGAAAAGCTGCAAGTACACACACACTTTGAAAGAAGAAGGCTACGCTTCTCCAATATGCCTAATTTTCAGAGGTGTTCCGCTCTCAGTTCCCACTGACATTGATCAGAACTGTGAGAACCCAGCACCTCTTAGAAATCAACCCACTTTTTAACTTTAGTCACCCCGATTTCAAAATCTTGGCCTAAGGGTTAAATCTCTAAGGCCTTGATCCCACAAATATACACGTATGTGCTTAAATTTTATATATGTAAGTATTCCTTTTGAACTCCATGGGGCTCCCAACATCCATTAAGTTAAGTACATGGATAAGTCCATATTATGTAACTGATATTGTTTTAAAGAAATTCTATACTGATTTAGACAGAAGTATCTTCCTAAAACAAAAACAACCTATCCATAACATGAGATAGCCCTTAATTCCACACTAATGCACCCTACACTGGTTACTACATGATGCTGCTAACTGACCAGCAGCTCATTGCATTGTTTTAGAGAACTTCTTAGAACCCTGTAAATACATTTTAAGCTGCAGCTGCTTTTGAAACCAGTCAGTCACACCCATACCAATTCCACCAATCAGCATTTATCCCTGCTCACATTAATACAACTCGCAGTCTAGTCCTGGGAGATTTCTGGTTCAGTTTTCAGAGCCGTGAGCTTTTCAGATAAAAATGAAAACCACTTCAACGATCTTCCTTACTATTCATTTCATTCCTCCAGTACCCAAAGGAGTTTGGAAATGACAGGGCAGGGGCAGCAGAAACTTTCAGGGGAAGAAAAGGGAATCAGAAGAAAAACAAAGTTCCTTTCTGGCTGTCAGAGAGAGACCACAATAAGGAACAAAATCTTCTGACTTCCTTTAAAGTTTCACAAAAGGGCAGGAGACCATCACGTCACTAGCCTCAGGAAATAAGTCTAGTCCTACAGGCACAAAGCAACGCATGGACAGAACGTGTTTCTTGGGATTCTGTTTCATAGAATCATAGAATATCAGGGTTGGAAGGGACCTCAGGAAGTCATCTAGTCCAACCCCCTGCTCAAAGCCGGACCAATCCCCAATTAAATCATCCCAGCCAGGGCTTTGTCAAGCCTGACCTTAAAAACTTCTAAGGAAGGAGATTCTACCACCTCCCTAGGTAACGCATTCCAGTGTTTCACCACCCTCTTAGTGAAAAAGTTTTTCCTAATATCCAACCTAAACCTCCCCCACTGCAACTTGAGACCATTACTCCTTGTTCTGTCATCTGCTACCACTGAGAACAGTCTAGAGCCATCCTCTTTGGAACCCCCTTTCAGGTAGTTGAAAGCAGCTATCAAATCCCCCCTCATTCTTCTCTTCTGCAGACTAAACAATCCCAGTTCCCTCAACCTCTACTCATGAGTCATGTGTTCCAGACCCCTAATCATTTTTGTTGCCCTTTGCTGGACTCTCTCCAATTTTTCCACATCCTCCTTGTAGTGTGGGGCCCAAAACTGGACCCAGTACTCCAGATGAGGCCTCACCAATGTCGAATAGAGGGGAACGATCACGTCCCTCGATCTGCTGGCTATGCCCCTACTTATACATCCCAAAATGCCATTGGCCTTCTTGGCAACAAGGGCACACTGTTGATTCATATCCAGCTTCTCGTCCACTTTCACTCCTAGGTCCTTTTCCGCAGAACTGCTGCCTAGCCATTCAGTCCCTAGTCTGTAGCAGTGCATTGGATTCTTCAGTCCTAAGTTTGTAGGAAGGGTTTTCAGTACTCTCCATGGGATATTAAGGACTCTGGGCTTTCAGAAACCCCGAATAATTGACTTCAGGAGAAATACACCAATCGTGTTTAATGACACACTAACCTGTCACAGAAAGGCAGTCACCAAGTCACAAGCAGTTTCTCCCTGCAGGTCTGAAGAGAAGGTGGCCCCTGCTCATCTTTCTGCAACGGATTGGAGAAGCAGGGAGTTATTTACTAAAGTGTAACTGCTGCATCTGGTGCACATGTGCTATGAACAAATCCCATTTTAAAATATGGGATGTAAACATTCTGTAGAATGGAGGGCTTGTGAGAGGCATGGGATTGATTGTCCTGGAGACTGAAGTCCAGAAGAGGTTCACCACAGGCAGTGCAGTGCAAGCTTCTTCATGTACTCTTATACCAGCGTGCCTCAAACCTTCCCTAGAGGGACCTTCACAGGAGAAGAAAGTAGTTCAGGCTCCATTCCCATTCAGGCATTTGTCTCCGACCCGAGATCAGCCACACTGGTGGCGCTTGAAGTGGATTTCATGGCCCACTGAAAACTGGACTCAAACCAACCATTTCATAAAGACCACTAACCAGCCATAAGATTGTAACAGCTTTTGGTCGCTACAAACCAGGGCTGGCTTCTAACCATTTGTGTAGCAGTGAGAAGTAACATCCTTATCAGTTCCCTGAGCCATCAAGAGCCTCTCCATTTTTCAGACACAGCCAGAGACAATGTTACATCTATTAATATGATGAAACTTTATTCAGAAATCAAAGAGCAAGACCAGGAGAGTCCCTGTGAATTTGCTTCCTCCTCTCTTTTGTCTGATGCTCCCAGACTTTGTTACTTTGATGGCAAACTGCGAGGTTCACGTATTTTACCTAGCTTTTTAGAAGCTGTGTGTGGAGAGGTGGAATACAGGTTGTGGGAAGGGAAAAAAATTATTCTGATGGAGGAGGCTTTTTTTTTTTTTTGAGGGCGGCAAATGTGAGTTCTGCAGAATCCTATCAAAGTCACTCATGTGTAGAACAAAGCAGCTAAGGGCTTTGGAACTTCTGCAGACTATAACTTGTGGCTAGAATTTGTGATTTCACATCATTCCTATATCCTTTTAACGTGATCCCTTTGTCAGTCTTGAACACCAGACTGATATCTGAAATATTCTCCTTTATAGTGACCTTTCAGAGCCAGATTGCAGTCTGTGCTAAGAGAATTTAAAGCTGCCCTAAATGGGCAACTGGGAATTCCTACAGCATGGAGAAATCTCAGCAAGCATAGGGCTACCACCACAACCCCCTTCCTTCCCAGCATAGGGGCACATTACCTGAGGAAAGAAGCAAGCATGCACATAGTATGCTATATTCTGGGGATAACCAGCTGGCATGACAACCTTCTACAAGGCTATCACAAACCACAGCAATTCTGAACAGCCGTGAGATTGTTGTAGATTATGTCAGAGGCCAAACAGCCTCCGGGATTGAGGGGAGGGCAGAAAGGTGGCATAAGTCACCTTTACTCCTCCATCCCACAGATGGCCCAAGCTCTGCTACAGTGTATCTGAAGACTGAGCCCACACTCTGTGGCTGGCCTTTCACTTTGCGTGACCTAGTCATGTTTGGCAGCATGCAGCATGAGAAATAGCAGTGCATCACTTTGGAAGCATCAAAGGAAATGCAGCAGATAATCCTACAAGGCTCTCATTTGCTGAGAAGATGAACTATGCAATAGGTAAAATGAATAAGCAGCAGCTGCCAAAGCCCTGTCCAAAGCCTGGAAATCCCCAGAAATTTACCTTCAGATTAGAGTTAATTTCATATGCTTCTGTGACTTTAGAAACAAAAACCAACAAAGTGATTTAAGATTAGGAAGAGCTACATCTTTATGGAGTCTGGCCAGTGTCTTTGTCGACTTGAGACACATTTGGGAAAAATCTCATTGAATGAGCTGCAGTGAATGACCTTTCATTCCATTTACAGGTTTGGTATGCTTAAGAGAAGGCTGGGAGTATTGCCAAGTTTCAGTATGGACTGCTGAATCATCAGCACAATCTGTCAGAGAAGCCAGATCTGGAGTTCTATTTGCACGTTCACCTGCGAGTGCCCTGAAAGCCAGATACCAAGGTAAGAGGATTGTGTTGGTTGAGACAGGTATAACCCACACACCTTCTGGGTGTGGTGTTCTGTCCCATCTTGTGGCACCGAGACCACTTAGAGAGAAAGATTAAGGAGTCTACTCTGCAGCCTTAGCTAACAGTCATTTGGCTTTTAGCTCATGCAATAGAGGTTCATTCACTAAGCTCCCGAGATTGCAGGTTCAATACCGCCCACCGAGAATCCAGGTCTATCAGCGTTACACAGGCAAAGGGTGTTTGCCATGAAAACCCATCATTTTTTCAGCTTCTTTTCACTGGAGAGTAGAAGTTTGGCACGTCTCTCCTAACTTTAGTGTCATGGTTTACAGGAGTAGGTCACTATGTAAAAGAGTTTGTCTGTTTGTTTTTTTTAAGTTCAGGCAACAAGCATCAGACAACTCTACTTTCTCTTAAAAGCCAAATAACTCAAGAAAATCCTAAAGGGACTAATTAATAACCCACAAACCCTAAAATGATGCCTGGCAATTCCCTTCTTGGTTCTCTTAGTCCAACTACTAGGGTTTCTGGTTAACCCTTTTGAAAGTGTCAGTGTCTTATAGAGTAGAAGTTTGTTCAGTTTCACCACCACACTGCACTGAAGAATCTCACTGTAAACCAGCAGTGCTCTCATTGCTCGGTGGTGTGGTAGACTTGGGGAGCCGAGAGGAAGAGTTGGCAAAGATATCAGCCCTCTTAAGGGTGGTGTGTGCCCACCGTTCATTATTCGAGTTCAGTTTGGAGGTTCTATTAGATCCACAGCTGACTGTAGATCAGGACTTTGTAACCAGGGAGGCACAACACAAAGATGGCTCATGATATGGCTGCCCTTCCCAGGTCCTCCCATCCCAGCACCCTACCAGTATCCAACAAGCGCCACCAACCGAACCCACCCAGTACTCCCAAGCCAACTCTCATTTCTCACCCAGGCCCTAATCCCCCTGTCCTCTGCAGCCAAAGCATTTGGGTGCATTGCTGCAAAAAGTCACAGCTAGATTTCGGGTTCTGGGTGAAAAACCACTGTTTTAGATAAGGTATCAAAATGTGACTCAAACTCATATATCACACTAGGAGCACACTATACCAGCTCTCTATGATCTGCTGACCCACCATCCAATGGCTGCTTATTGATTTCTGGGTCAAACATGGCCTGGAACATATCTACCTAAAGAATTATTTTTCTTCCTGTTACTCTGACAGTTCTATTCAGCAAAAGTTCTCAGGTGGAGTTCCCCTGTGTTAATTGAAGGGAAGGTTGCTGATAGGCTGTTCTTATATCTACTTCAGACTAGGAAAATAGATTGTATGTTTTAAAATAAATGATTTTCCTATGGTCAACATGGGCATGAAGAGCCCACGGCTTTGGAATTCCCCCGTAAGAAATAATCTGAATCTATCGATCTCCAGGCCATAATACAAGGCCCATGTGTTTTTTCAGGCATTTGGGAAAGCTGTGGGTATTTGTTTGCATGTTTAATTGTCAAGCTGGCTGATTCAGTTTTATTGCAGGGTTGGGCTAATTTGATTGGCTTCTAGAATTGCAATTTTTATATGGTGCAATATTTTAATTGCTGTGAAAGTTGCCTGGGGCTGTTGGAAAGTGCTTTTCCATGTTCTAAATCAAAACAAAGTATCTCTTCAGCAGTTTAGGTTGGTAACAAGACCTGACTGGCCTTTATAACTGTTTAGGAAATTACTCTTCACTGAAAACCCCACCACATTTTGGTAGTTTTTCAAACATGGTATTGCAGGGATCCACATGGCTAGCACCTCCTGGTGACCACTTCTTTGGCCACACAATGGCCTAGCCCTGTAGCCAGGTCACATTTAAGTTCAGTCCTCTTCCCGCATAAGGAGAGGCCAACTAACAAACTTGAACAAACAGCAAAACAAATGACCCTCCTGTCCTTCTTAGGCCGTGCTGAAGTTCCCTGCTCCCAGGCACTGCCACATTCTATCTTTGCTCTTTTGGCTGAGCCCTACAGCCCAGGGCTTTTCCCCAGAGGCTCTTCTTAGCAGCTTTCTTCATTAGCTTCCCTCCTTAGGCACTGCCAGCTTCTGCCAAGGATCTCCCTGCTTCGCACAGCTTTCACCTCAGGGTCACCCTCAGGAATCTCACCTGCTCTCTGCGGTTCTGTCCAGCCTGACTTCACCAGGCCCTATGTAGGAAGCCAGGGTGGCTTCCCTCCGAACCAGAGGGTAAAGAGCCAGCCTCTCAGCCTGAGTGGGCAGGGCCAGGCCAAGTTCACGCCAATCCCCGGAAGGGGAGGCGTTGGACAGGAAGTACAAAGGGCGGGTCTCTTAGTCCAGGGAGAGCAGACTAGGGAGGGAGACAGACACAGGCTGCTCCCTCCAGACCCTCTGCTGACCCAGGAGAAACCTGACCTGGAGGAAGGACTGTGGTGACCAGGACTGCCAGCCGCCAAGGGGCCAGGCTGTAACCTGGGCCAGCGTGAACCTGACACAGAGCGGGGAGCTGGAGCTACCAGCAGCTGAATACCCGGACGAGCTGGAGGGACCGGAGAGGCCCGCTTGAGTGACCGGGTAGGAAGTAGCCCGGGGCAGAACTGCACAGCGTAGTGGGTGTATTTGGTCAGCGGGGTGTGTGGATGGTCCCCCGCTGACCCAGCAGCGGGACCTTCGCCTTCCGCCACTGTCAGGGCCCTGGGCTGGAACGCAGTGCAGTTGGGTGGGCCTCCGTTCCCCTACCCCAGCCAACCTGCCTTGGGTAGCAGAATCCCGAATGCCGCAGACTCGGGTCGGCGTGCCCGAGGGGCCGAAGGTATGACTAAGGGCTGCCAGTGGGACAGTAGCTCTGCATCGCCCCCTCGGAACCTGTCACACCCTATCTGCTGAGTCATCTTCTCCTGAACGAGCTCTCCTCTCTCTGTAGTGCCCCCTGACACTTTCATAGCTGAGGGCACTAATGTTAATTAAGCCGCCCACTGCAGGATCAGCTGGGGGCTAACTGCTAGCTCACAGGCAAGACTGAGCCTGACTCCCCTTAAAGGGCCAGCAAGCCAGTGATAGTGTCTATAATACTCGCCTCACTTGAGACACTAAAAGATCCAAATAGGGTTGGCCAGGCATCCAGTTTTCGACCGGAATGCCTGGTCAAAAAGGGACCCTGGTGGCTCTGGTCAGCACTGCTGAACGCGCTGTTAAAAGTCCGGTTAACAATGCAGCGGGGGCCCAGGCTCTGTGCAGCTCCCCAGAAGCAGCAGCCAGGTCCGGCCCCTAGGCACAGGGGTGATCAGGGAAGCTCCACATTCTGCCCCCAGCACCGGCTCCGCAGCTCCATTGGCCGGGAACAGCAGCCAATGGGAGTTATGGGGGTGGAGACTGCGGGCGAGGAGCTGCCTGGCTACCCCTGCACCTAGGAGCTGGGCTAGACATGCCGGCTGCTTCTGGGAGCTGCAGGGAGCCTGCCTTACACCACTGCCTGGGAACTGCCTGAGGTAAGCGCCAACCGGCCGGATCCCGCACCCCAAGTCACCTCCTGCCCTCAACCCCCTGCCCTAGACTGGAACCCCTTCCTGCACCCAAACTCCCTCCCAGAGCCCACACCCCTTCCTGCACCCCAACCCCCTGCTCCAACACCCCAAGCCCCTCATCCCTGGCCCCACCCCAGAGCCCACACTCCCACCCAGAGCCTGCACTCCCTCCTACACCCCAACCCCCTGCCTCAAGCTCACTCCTGCACTCCAAACCCCTTGGCCCAAGCCTAGAGCACCCTTCTGCACCCCAAACCCCTCATTCCCAGCCGGAGCCCACACCCCCTCCCTCATCCAACCCAATGCCCCAGCACAGTGAAAATGAGTGAGGGTGGGGGAGAGTGAGTGACAGAGGGAGAGGGGCTGGAGTGAGGTGGAGGCAGGGCCTAAGGAGGGATGGGGCAATGGTGGGGCCTCAGAACGGGCGGGGCAAGGGTCTTCAGTTTTGTGCAATTAGAAAGTTGGCAATCCTACATCCAAGGCTGGCCCTCAAGGGAGTTGTAGAATTTCATCCATCCCACACCCTGCTGAAAATGCAGTCCTTCATTTTACATATGTTAGAATAGATTGAACCACAGCAATAGTGAGTGGATGGAATAGGAAACTTATTCCCTTCATCCTCCTTTGGATAAATTCCCCTGGACAACAGAAATCATTCACCATTCCCTCTGTGTCCCTGTTCTTTGTACAGGGAAAACCACCCCAGCTAATGGAGTGAAAGGATTCACGGTGACTAGGACACGCAAAAATGAACAGGTAAACTTTACCGCAGTGCAGCTCATCGGGTGGTACACATGACTGCCACAAGAGCAGAGAATAATGTCAAGACCAGACTTTGTCTATGTACACATTGGCTAACTTACTTCAATGAACATACCCCAGATGGGCCTGCACAGGAACACAAGATCCAAAATCACCTCAAACTGTGGGGAAGTTCAGATCCGAAGCCAAAAGTCACGACTGACATCCAACGCTAAAAGATTAATCCAGCTGAGAGTCTAATCTGGGTATCAATTTGAATCTGGATAAAAACATTATAGCATGGGATGATTTATTGGATATAACAAAAATGTAATGTTCGCTATGCTAACTAAGCAACAATCCTGGAGTATCAGAGCCAAGATTATTCCCATATCATAATTCTACTTTTCTCTGTTTTTTTGTACTATATAGAGAATATGTCTTCTGGATACTCTCCTACTCACTGCTGTACTTTTTCCCTGGTGGTAAGTATACTACAATATGCATCCACTAGTTAGTGAAGAGGCTTGCATGTGTTAATCAAACTGCAGATTAGTGTAACAATCTAAAAACCAGAAGATGGAGACTCCTACATTTCATAATATTAAAAATAATTTTTCTCACTCTTTATAATCACTCATTCTACATCTGTTTGCTTATTGAAATTGTTCTCCTTCATTGCACATGCCCTGCCATGGTAGTATAGGGTTGGGTTGCTGATGAGTGCTTGGCATTAAGCTGTTTAGAAAGCAGGTATTACACATGCCAGGGGTATAACACCAAAGAGGTTACCCTAGGAAAACTATATATTATGATCAAGGTAAAATAATGAGTCCTGGGAGTTTTCTGTTTAAAGACCTTAAGTCCCAAGTCTTTGCCCAGTTGGAGTCAGGCCTTCTAGAAGTTTGTTACAGTGCTTTTGAACATAATGGAACAGAAGAGCAGGATAGGACTACAGCATATGGCTAAATCTTTGGCTCCTTTGCTAAAAGCACCATTTTCATTAAATTTAGTGGAATTTACGTAAAAGATTCTCCATGTAGCAAGAAGAAAATATAATTCCTGCCATCCAAATGGGTACCACTTGAATGGAAGAATGTGTTGTTAAACTTGTCAACCTTTGAAGTTTGACAATGAAGTGAGCTGTAGCTCAGGAAAGCTTATGCTCAAATTTGTTAGTGTCTAAGGTGCCACAAGTCCTCCTTTTTCTTTTTGTCAACCTTTAAGACACTTCCATGGTTAATTAAATCTTTGGCTCACCTTTCTTTTTAAAATGGGGAAGTACACATTCAATCCTTCTGACTGTGCCACTGGGACAGCTCTGCCACACATCCTCTTTGGTATTTAAGATTAACATGTGTTTGTAGGGAATTATGAGGTTTATTCCACCACAGCATCAGTTTTCTGCTTAATCTTTATAAATGCCCAGATAGATAAGGGAAGAACTTCCTCATTGCACTTTTTCTAATAGAGGAGTGGATTTCTGCTTAGTTCTTTGCTGCAGGCATATTTGTTTAACAATACAAAGGATTAGTCAGACATATACCATCTCAGAACCTATTGAACCAGAAAGGGATGGTCATTTGCTTCACTGTTCTGGAACCTTCTCCCCAGGTGCCTACAACATGTCTGGCTGTCTCCTACTAGGTTTTTTCCAAAATGTTGATAAAACCCATATTTTGAGCCTAAATTCCCTTACAGTCTCTCTTTAAAAGCATTGAGGTTTGTTTAAGTCTCATTTCTAAAACTTCATTATTTTTTATAAACTACATTGTAGTATGCTTTCCCCTATATTATGAAGTAGTCAAACAAATTAATAATTTGTCAAAATAAACAAAGTACATTTTGGGACAAGTTCTTTAATTATTTTTGAAATGTTTGTTTGCTTATTCACTAATTTTGCAAATTAGTGAATACAGCGTAGGTCTCCTAGTTGTTAAAGAGCTAGCAAGACTCTGTTCAAAGAGGAAATTATTATATGGGAAATATACTTCAATCTCTGCGATCACTCAATAGCAGACCTAAAAGTGGCAGTTCTTCAACAAAAAAACTTCAGACTCCAGCAGAACTGGAATTAATTTTCAAACTGGACACCATCAGATTAGGCCTGAATAAAGACTGGGAGTGGTTGGGTCATTACAAAACCTAAACCTAATTTCCCCCCTACTGTTACTCACACCTTCTTGTCAACTGTCTGAAATGGGCCACTCTCATTACCACTTCAAAAGTTAATTTTCCTCCCTTGGTATCCTGCTGTCAATTGAATTGTCTTATCAGACTCACCTCACACTTAGTAAGGCAACTCCCATCTTTTCATGTATTTATACCTGCTCCTGTATTTTCAACTCCATGCATCTGATGAAGTGGGTTCTAATCCACGAAAGCGTATGCCCAAATAAATTTGTTAGGCTCTAAGGTGCCACAGGTACTCCTTGTTGTTTTTGCTGATACAGACTAACATGGCTACCACTCTGAAACATGGGAAATATAGTTTGTCACAAGCTTGTACAGTGAAACACATTTAAGAATATTCTTCACAGGATTCCAGCTAGTAACAGATTACTCCAGTTTACAATGGCAAGAGACATTTATGACAAGTTCTATATAAGTGATAAACACAAAATATACCCAGAGATCAACTTTTGCTGTGATTTAGGCACTAGTTTGGGACTTGGGATACCTAGGTCCAACTTACTGCTCCACCACATATTTCCTATCTGACCTTGAGCAAGTGAGTTGGGCCCCGATCCACAATGGTATGTAGGCTCCTAAACTTCCATTGATTTAAATGGAAGTTAGGAGCCTCAATGTCTTTGTGGATCTGGGCCTTAGTCTCTCAATGCCTGACTCTCCATCTAAGAAATGGGTATAACATTTTCCAAACTCACAGGGGTGTTGTGAGGATATATGCACTAAAGATTGAGACTCTCAGATACTGTTGGTAATGTGGACCATATAAGTGCCATAGATTAATAGATTTACAGGAGATCCACCAATGCTAGCGGCTATTAATAGCTACTGTTTTCAAGATGTGTATAGGTGTTGGTACATTGATCTCTCCACTACAGTTATTGACAAATTTAGAGCCAAATTCTGAGAGGTGCTGACCAATGGGAGTTGCGGGTGCTCAGCACAATTTATCCCTTGACAATATAAATTTATCTTTTTACACTCAGCATTTTTTTTTATTTTACAGCTGTTCCCCACACAACCTTGTGCCACGCAGTCAGTGGAGACACCGTTATTTTGCCATGTGCCATTAAGACCTCTGAAAAGCTGAACATTTCCAATTATTCTATATACTGGCAGATAAATACATCAGTGGTAGTGCATTTGTTTTACAATGGGAAGGACTTGCTGAAAGATCAGTCCAGAAGATACCACAACAGAACTAGGCTGTTTTTGGATCAGCTGGAGCGTGGTAACTTTTCTCTAATGCTCTCTGGAGTTGAGCCTGCTGATGAAGAGGTGTATACCTGCATCTCGAGAAACAAAGTGACCAAAACTAAGGACAAGTATAAAGTTAAACTCAACGTCTCATGTAAGACCTTTAGAAGTTGATTTCAAAGGGAGGGAGTTCAGGTGGGAGATCCTCCACTGAGCTTATTGTACCTGGTGGAGACTCACATTGCTGACACTAGACATGATAAATTTAAAAAATGGTAAAGTTCCACTGATTTTCACCTCTCCACTTCCTCATTTAAGTACAACAAGGAGACGGGCAAAGGGGAGGAATGAGAATCTTTGGGAAGCCTCAAGACTCAAATATCAGCAGAGGATCCAAGACCTGAGAAGCCAAACCCCTCTGACACTCCCCTCTTTAAATGAAACACATCTTAAGGAGAGTGCCTCCCAAGTTTTTATGTTTACATATTCTGCTGGGTGCATCCTTTCCCTACACCTACATTAATAGAAGGTGTGGGAGACTCCAGTCCATTATCCCAGGCATCAACAGCTTAACCCATACGAGTTTGTTCCAAACCCCAAGGAATTCAAAGGAAAGACTTTTTGTAATTTTAATAGGCTCAGCTCTATAGCCTTTCAGAGCAAAGACACAAAATTAACGACCTTTGCACCTGTGACTTGTCCTTGAATGCTGGGATGCAAAGAGAAAATCTGATGTACAAAGAGCTGAACAGAGTCCAACTTACCCTGTAACTCATGGGATTCAGAGACTAGAATATGCAATAAAGGTCTCTCTTTTTTTTTTTCCCCTCCTATGTGAAAATAAATTATTCAGTCATTATAACAAATGGCTGGATAATTGTGACTGCTTAATCTGCACAAGGTTTTTAACTATCCAATAGTACCTTTTTTTTCCCCTTTTAAATATAAATGAATAATTTTTTATTTTTTGTTTTTTCCAGCTCCAGATAATCAATCTTTGGAAAGAAATGTTTCCCCTTCGGGTAAGTGAAAATCCTGAACTTGCCTTGAATTAGGCTAGATCATTAGCAGGGCTAGTTTGTTTTATTCTCTAATTGGTATGACTTGTTATAAGCACTGGTAAATAGAAGAAAGTCCTATAGATTTTTGGCTTTTGCTGTCACTGGCAACTCTCCTTACTGGTCCCTGCAAACTACAGAAGAAAGGAGTATGTACACTCACTGTCAGAAAGGACTCCCACTTAAATCCTTGATAGGACTATTTTAGATTGATTTTTTTGCGTGCCAATATTGATAAAACATTAACCACTATTAAGGGCCAGAGACTGCTCTTTTTAATGTGAGAGAAGAACAAATCTATCAACTTGGCAGCCATAAGTAAGGCTAAGATTTTGTCACGGTTATTTTTAGTAAAAGTCAGGGACAGGTCACGGGCAATAAACAAAAATTCACAGAAGCCTGTGACCTGTCTCTGACTCTTACTAAAAATAACTTACAAAATGGGGAGTGGGGGGGGTCCAACACTCACTGTTGCTGCAGCTCCAGGGTCCATCCCCCCAGTGGCTGGGACCTGTGGGGGTCCCCCACCACCTGTGGTGGCTGGGAGCTTAGGGCCAGTGGTTGGGAGCTGCGGGATCCCCCATGCCCATGGTGGCTGGGAGCTGCAGGGAGTCCCATCGGAGCTGGGAGCGGCAGGGGACCCCACCACCTATGGCAGCTGAGAGATCTGGGGCCCCTGCTGGTTGACAGCTCCAGCCCTGCAGCCCCGTGGCTGAAGCAGAAAATGTCACAGTGGTCTCTGGAAGTCACAGATTCTGTGACATAATCGTAGCATTAGCCATAAGGCTCTTAGGATTAACAAGAGTTTCTTCTGTAAGTTCTCTTGGTATAGATGAATAGTCAAATCAAAAGATCTGAGAAGGCACTTGAATAACACAGTAATAGGTGACCTAGAAATACATAAGGTAGATGGATTTGCATAAACCCTTACAAGGAAGATTCAAAAGGCTCTTGTCCCAGTGCAGTTCTGCAAGTAAAATACAGCTGTTGAATTCTAAGCATATTCACATCATATAATTAACCCCACCGAGGTCACTTGTAGAGACTTCTGGGCTCAGTGAGTTATGCGCAATGAATATGAGCTATGCAGAGAAATTGTTATTACAAGAGGATAACCCTTTGACTCGTGTGTGTGTGTGGTCTCTCTCCACTGCCTAAAACCTCAAAGCTAAGGAGGGATCTCAGGCTCTGGAGTTAGGGAGAGGTTGTGGGGTAAATAATATAGTATAATATATTATTTGAATTCAGATGTATTACTATTACCTAAGCATTATACCAATCTGATTATTTGCCCCTCATTGGTAAATTCTCTATTTCCAGTCCTGATGATAGCTTAAATTAGCTTTCCAGAGTTTTAATTTGCATTATCAACGCCCTTACACTTTGTGTATGCTGTAAAACATTCTTAATGACTCATTTTACATACTTTAGATCAAAGACACGGTTGATTCCAGAAGAATTAACCCTGAACAAATTAACCCACCCACAACATGACATTTCTCTAGGGTCTGAAAAAGAGGCAGCACTAAACTCTCTCAAACAACCAAAAGGAAAGAAAAGTATTTTGTGTATTTAAGTTATGGAGTTTGCAGTAGATGATTTTTTCTTTTTAGACGTTCTCAGCATTGTACATTACTTGTAAGAAAGAGCTTTAGAATTACAGGAAATCTCCCCCACCTACTTTTAAAAGTTCCAAATGGTGCAAAATGCAGCAGCCTTCCTCCTTAGCAACTCCAGCCTGACTCATAGGCCTTTCAAAGAACACAGGATTAATTTCAAAACAGTAGTTTTCATCTTTAAGACCATTCATGACAATTGACTAAGTCACCCCACAAAAAGACCTAAGGCAGCCAAGACTTCTCTTGCCAGTTACATTCCAAAGGAATGATCAACTGATCAGGAGTCAACCTTGTGAAAACTAGGGGCAGAGTTTTCATGGCAACAGTGAGGCCTTGTCTACACTACAGACTTTTGTCAACGCAAGTTATGCTGACATACAGCCCTGCTTTAATTAAACTGCTGTTGCATATCCGCACTATGCTCCTTGTGTCAGCAGAGCACATCCACACCAGCAGCTCTTGCATTGACAGAGAGAGCACTGCATTGTGGGTAGCTATTCCACTGTTCAACTGGCCGCAGGGTGCTTTGGGAAGGGTTTGCAATGCCTCATGGGGCAGGTCCTGCATCACATGATGCAGGTATCTCAATCCCATCGTTCAGTGTAGACACTGTGTTCTACATGGACACTTTGTCACTCTAACTTTCCCACAAAAAGCTTTATGACTTGTCTAGGTGGTTTTATTTTGTTGGCAAAACAGGAGAGTTTTGCTGCCAAAAGTAGCAATGCAGTGCATATACCTCCACTGTTTTGTCAACAAAAGCTTCCTTTTGCTGACGAAACTGGGCAGAGTAAGTAGACAAGGCCTAAGATTACAGAAAAGAGGAGAAGAGAGGGAAGAGTTGGCGTTCACCCTCAGTCACCTACATTTGAAGGAGGAATATATATATTACTCAAATTTTCTGACCACTTTTTAAATTAAAAGTGGTTTTTCAACTGAACAAATTTTGATTAAAAAATTCAAATTTTGTAAAAATTGTGTAGGTTCTCATAAAATACTCACCTTTTGGTTACAACAAACCTGAAATTTCAAAGAAAAAATAGACAAAGGAAAAATATTTGCTTTTGTCATAAATTTTCATGGGGAAATTATTTCCTCAATGGCTCTAACAGTTATATCTCCAGCAACCACCCATGGAAGAGGGAGGAACAGTCAATTTGTTGGACGTTGTCTTCTGTTAGTTCTCTTGTTGGAACGTGCTGAGAGAGAGAGAGAGCACAAGCTCAGTTAAATGTCTACCTTTTGGGTTAGCTATTAAACAGCTTCAGCAGCTATTTGCTGTTCTGTAAATAAACAAATACTTTTTTCACTTTTTTTTTTCTTTTTTAAAACCTCAGAGATTCTCTTTGTCCTGGGGGTGACTGTACTAGCACATTGGGGCTCAAAGAGAGAACTCTTCTGGGCCAACAGCAGGGAGCTTCAAGCTGGTCCCGGCCCAGAAAACCCTTGTATCTTATTCTACCTCAAGGATTTATTGAGGACCACCAGAGGTTAAACAGTTGTTTACCTGACAGAACACAGTTCTCCTTCTGGGGAAAGGATGAGAGAAAGAACAAACCACATGGTGACAGCTGTTAGTCATGTTGCTTAATACACTGCTGGAAAGCACCCACCTACTACAGTGATCAGGGCAGGAGAACCTACACCAAGTACAATAAAATAGAACCTGGTCTTCACAGAGAAGGACTCTGGCCCATATAATGGTTGGGGAAATGTCTCCATAGGCTGAACTGTTTAATAATTATTGCAGTTTAAGGAATGTAAATAAAAGATCCTGGCCTGGGACCCTAGGAGGTCTCTGGTATATCTTCTTTTGTCACTATTGTGGTTTTGCCAAGGGTCTAAACAATATCATCACCACAGCAGTAGAGAGTATCTCATTATTTGTTTGGTCTCCAGTGTCTCTCTTGTGAAGGGAAATACTTCAGATCTGTTAGAATCCCCTATGCTATCTCTTTACTGGGGTGAACTCAGAAACCTGCAAGAAATGTTTCAAATAATTCAAAATGCAAAAAATAAGAGTGTAAGTGATTTAAAAAGAAATCCTATAATACATTGATATCAAACATAGCTGTACAACTCAATGGAAATTTGAAGTTCATTCACTGCCACGTTCAACAAAGGTGTTAATATTTGTTTACATTTTAGGGGAGAAGTTACCAGAGGTGAAAGTAAGCCGGTACGCCCCGGTACAGCATACTGGTAAGAGCCAGTGCGCCATACTGGGACCAACTTTCCCAGAGGGCAATTTAAAGCGCTGGGGTAGCGGCGGCGGCAGGGCTGCGGCGGGGATTTAAAGGGCCCCGGAGCTCCAGCCACTGCTACCCCCGCCTGGGCCCCTTTAAATCCCTGCCTGAGCCCTGAAGTAGGGGTGGAGGGGCTCTGGTGGGGATTTAAAGGGCCCTGGAGCTCCAGCCACCGCTACCGCCCCGGGCCTTTAAATCCCCACTGGAGCCCTACTGCTGAAGCCCTAGGGTAGCGGCGGCGGGGCTCCGGAGTGGATTTAAAGGGCTGAGGTGGTAGCAGCAGATGGAGCCCGGCCGCTGCTACCCCAGAGCTTGGGAAGCAGGGCTCGGGGCTTCGGCAGCCGCTACCACAGCAGAGCCCCAGACCCTTTAAAGCTCTGCCAGAGCCCCAGGGTAGCAGTGGCAGCTGGGAGCTTCCAGGGCTCCTCAGTGATTTAAAGGGCCTGGGGCTCTGCTGCGGTAGCAGCAGCTGGAGTCCTTGGCCCTTTAAATTGCCCCCAAGCCCTGGGGCTCCCAGCCGCTGGTAGCTCGGGGATGATTTAAAGGGCCCCGGGCTCCCAGCCGCCACTACCGCAGCTGGAGCCCTGGCCCTTTAAATCTTGATTTAAAGGGCCCAGGGATTTAAGGCCCTGCCTCTTCTGGTTGAGGCCACGCCCCCTGCTCAGGACTCCAGCGTACCAGTAAGTCCTCTAACTTACTTTCACCCCTGGAAGCTACCCTTCATTTTAAAAAATGACTTGTTCTGTCTAGAATGACTGAAGCCATAACTAGTAGACTGCCAGAAGCTGGGTAGGAATAGGAAAGTGTAGTTGACTTCATTTCTGAGGTGATACAGAAAACGGAAGGGAAAAGATAGGAAATACGTGTAATGGGCAACATGGGAAGGTGATGTAGGTAGGTGATTGCTAATTGTTTACAGATGTTTTCTCCTCTTTCAGGTCAAGCTCAGGATTTACCAAATTGTCCTGGGGATGCAAAAGCCCTGGATATTCTAGCACTCTGTTCTCACTTCCTGATGGTGTTGGTGGTTTGGACCTTGTAACTGTGAAATCAGGGCTTTAGTCTGCAAACTTCTCCTGGCAAGTGACTCTTGAAGCACAACACCCATCTATAAGGGTTGCACAACGACTATTCCAGAAGCCACAAACAACAAGGCATCACCACTTGAAAACTGGCCTTATATTAGGCACCTATTACCATAGTTTGGTGCTCAAATAAGCAACCTTATTTTTCAGAGGCACCGGCCCTCTGCGGGTCCAAGTGACTTCAGTCAGAGGTAACAAGCCTGCTTTGTCATCCATCTTCAAGAGCCGAGCTTTAGGCCTCCACGTTTGAAAATTCTAGCCATACAATTTTCTTGTGCGTTTTTTGAATCCAACTAAGGTTCACAGTGTTATTAGAACTGTCCTTAATATGATCTTTCACATAAGATTGCATGTGCTTTACAAAAAGGAGAAGTAAAAGAAGGAGAAAGCGTAGCTGTATTATAAGTCAGAGAAAAACTGGAAGTTGTGGGGGTGGCTGCCTTTGTGAAAATCAAGGGTGGAAACATTGTGACAGGAAACTGGAGGCTGTGAACTATGATGCCCCTTTTTCACTCTGATGCATCAACTACGTCATCAGTACAAAGAAACGATCCATTCAATCAGCCCAAGGAGAAGTTGTTGGCAAAGGATGTTAAAAAAAGCAAACGATTCCAGAGGAAGAGTGCTGCCGACTACAAATAAACCAAAGGCTCTAGGCTGTGTTTATCACTCTGCATTCCATTTTTTGTTTAAAGTGTCCACGGTTTAAGGAACTAAAACTATTATCCATGTCTATGGGGATTGCATTGCCTTACTCCTTAAAATGCAAAATGCAGATATACCTGAAGATGTAGTCTTGCACTTTTTAAAGATGAAAGTAGCGTCCAACTGATAAGATAAAGAAAGGACAGTATTTCTTTGACAGCCTAGTGCCATTGCAACTGCACTACGGTGTAGCTGTGAACAGGCTAAGGAATCTCTCACCTGGGCTGGAAGGGAGAGTGTGAAAGTGCCAGTCAGGATATGTCTACACAGCAATGTAAGCGTGGGCTCCTGGCTCAAGCCTAAGCCCCCTTTGTGTCCACATACTAATTGTGTTAACCCAGGGCTCGAACCTAGGGTCCCAGAAGCCTGCAGGGCTGGAGGGTCTGAGCAAGTGTTAAGCTGGGACCTAAGGTCAGAGCCCTATTGCTTTCCTGTGTGTACAAGACCCCAGCTTGACTTGGGTCCTGGAAGTCCTCTGGATGTGTCCCAGAGTTCCTTGGGGCAACTTCTTTAGTCATCTCTGTACCGACGATGTGTGGTGCGGTCTATTTCAAACATATACCACGCTTCCCTTTGTAAAAGGCAGCCAGTCAGATCAGCGTTAATCCATCATCATCTGAACACTGGTCTTTGAGCACACTATCAGAGAACCTGCAGCATAGGTGCTGACTGTGAGGGTGCTGTGGGGCTCAAGTACCCCCCAACCCTAATATGGGGTGCTCAGCACCTACAGAGATGGATTAATCTTTTGTGGGCCCTGGCACCTGAACCAAGGCTCTGCCCTGAGGCCACACCACCACTCAGCTTCTCCCTCCGAGGCCCCACGTGGCCTCTTCCACTTGAGGTCCCGCCCATGCTCCACCCCAAGACCCCAGAGAGGGCAGGCGGGAGGTTTGGGAGCAGAGCAGGCACTAAACAGCTGCCCTGCAGGGAGGGGGAGTGGTAGAGCTCCCAGCTCAGCATGGCCTGGGGAGGGATGACCCCTAACACTCTGGCCGCTCCCCCTCCCTGCCGGGCAGCCGTTTAGTCCCTGCTCCGCTTTGTGGTTCCCACTGGCTGGGCAGCATGCACTGTCAGGGTGGTGAGTAGGAGCCAGCCCCAAAACCTTCCCGCAGCCTCCTGCGATGGTGGCTTCAGCTCTTATGCCATGTTGCGTAGCGCTTGCCCAGAGCAGGAGCAAAGCTGACGGGTGGGAGGTGGCTCCTCGCTGCCAGGATGTTGGGGGTCATCCCTCCCCTGGCCATGCTGAGCCGGGAGCTCTGCTGTTTCCCCACCCTGCAGGGCAGCCCCAGACCCCTCCTGCCCTTTGAGCTGCGTGTGCGGGAGTGCCCAGGCAGCATGCATGGGAGAGGGTGGGAGCTCAAAACTTCCCCACAGCCTCCTGGGCATCTCTTATCCCTGCCACCAAGGATGCAGCAGGAGCAGGGATAAAGTATCCCAGGGGGAGGTGCTGGAGCACACTGCACCGCAAGCCCTGGGGAGGCACATCATTGTTCGGCAGCCAGCAGCAGCCAGGTGGGGGTGGGAGGGGGTGTTTTTCTTCTGAAACCTACATTTTATGTCAAACTTCAAAACAGACAAAAATAAATAAAAAATGAACCAAACAAAAACACTTTCACTGAATATCCCAATTTAAAAAATTAAGAATGGCAAAGTTTCATTTTAATAGTTTGACAGTCCTGAAGAATGATGTCCTGATTATCCTCAGAATCGGTGCACATGGGCATTTTCCTGCCCATATGATTCAGCCTAGAGGTGGAGAGCCCCAGTCTCAGATCAATGGTAGTTCAGTATAAAGCCTCCTCAAACTGCAGTCATTCTACTGAGACAGCCATCAGAGAAGCTACTTTTGCAGTTTCTGTACTCGTTATGGACACCTGAGTCCCATCAATAGCACCCTCACAGTAGGAAACAGGATGGGCAGTAGAGTTTTCCACAGTGCAACACATTCATAGGGCGGGAGGGAGGGGCGCTAGACACTCTGGGATAGGATTACTTTGACTCAGACCTGTGCACTGCAGTGTGGATGCCCGAGCCTAGGTTTGAGCACAGGTCAGAAAATCCTTAACCTAGGGTTAAAATGCAGTGTAGATGCTCAAACCCAGGGTTCTCTGACATGGGTCAGATGACTCAAGTCCCACTAACCCTAGGCTTACATTGCTGTGTAGATATACAGTAACTTTTGAGCATCCCTGAAGTAGGGGAAAGTGGCTTATAAGCGGCAGGATGTTTTAAGTATACACAAGTATTTTTTGCTACAGCTGAAGTCACTCCACTCTCCTTCATAAATAAGGCACCCAACTGGTTGTATTTGCTGGGAAGGAAATGGAATAAAATAGGAAGCCTGGAGCTCAATCCTGCATCCACTGAAAGGAATGATACCATTGACTTCAGTGAGTGAAAAATCAGACCCCTGCTGTAGGGAAAAGCAGATGAAACTCCAGGCATTCTGAGTCACTGCTAAGGTTAGGCTGAGCTGGAATTTATACCCAACTGGTTGAAAAGCAGACAGCTATAGCTGATATATGTATTTAACAACAAAAAGTATTTGTTATGTAAGTGTATGTATTTTGATTGTCTGCCTGTATTCCAGTCTTCTTATGTTGCCTGACATCTAAGATTGTAAACTCTTCAAAACATAGCCTTGCACCTTGTAGGAAAGGCTGGAATACAAATAAACTATTACTCAATCACATGCCCAACCAACACTTCTCTGCTGACCCCATCACCTTCCACAGAATTGAAGCTTTTTGAGAAGTTTCTGGCTGTGAACAAAAACTGGAACTAACATAGGACTATCTTCACAAGTCTGGTTAGCTACACAAGCCATAGCTCTGAGAGGTGTGAGCGGCCTCCCTTCATCACAACAGAGTGTTAATTCTAAAATCCCATGACAATTAAAAGGCCATTTTTTAAAAAAAGCAGTCCATATATGCAAAAATACATACATTTCCAAGTGCAAGTAGCATGATTTTACATATACATGAGTTATCTGGGCAAGCAAATGAGCAGACCAAAATAGCTGTTTACCTATAAAAACTAGCATGCAATCACAATAGCTTCACAAGCAAAAGCAGGCACAAACTACAAGATCATTTTGGATGCTTAAATGGACTCTTCTTTATTCAACTTTCCCCAAAATGTCAACACTGTTAATTGCTTATCTAATGGTAATATGCCATTAACAGACAGCTGTTTTATTGGAGAAGTTTGGGAATATATATAGGTAGAAACTGAATAGAGCACCATCCTTCCTTATCTGGCCCCACGGTGAGCTACTTGTACTCTCAGAACACCTGTAATGACAGAGAACAGCCCATTCTGTGCCTCAAGCCTTCCAAACCTTCGGCAAGAACTAAAGAGAGAGAGAAGAGAGAGAGAGAAAGCTTTTAAAACTCTAAAATGGACTGAAACAATTTATCCATTTAAAAACTCAGTATCTTAATTTTGCTGACCTGAAGTTCACCAGTGGCACGGACCTCCATCTGATACTGGGAGACCATACTCAGATAAATTAACCTGTCAGATTAAGTAAATCTCCAGGCAACCACTGTGAATTTCTCTTATAAGTAGTTGCATGGAGACAGGAGTGCAGTTTTTATTCTTCCTGCTTATTAATTTTAGTTGCAGTAAGATACAAGTAAACAGAGCAGAAGTTTTATTGAAACAAATTGTTCATTTTTTCAGCTTGTATATTATTAAAGTTTAAAGACCTCCCTTTTGTAACTAACTGATTACATGCTTTCAGAGAGTTCAAGTAGTCTTATCTTGATATGCGAGGAGTGACACTTGCCACCAGCATCAAAGGAATGCCATTATACAGCAATGTGTGGGAATTTCACCAGTTTCAGAGAGCCAGAGCATAGGCAGTGTTCCCCCTTTTTCAGTCACCAGTCAAACCAAGCGAGTGGACAACTACTAAAAACAGACAAACAAGATTTTTATAAACAAAATTCAAGAAGCAGAGCAATGTGCAGCGAGCATATTCTCTAAATCTACCCTCATTCCAGTTGCTTTTGTTTGGGGGGTGTCCTAAGGCTATCTCCATTTCTTCCTACTTCATACCTTGTCAAATACAAAGGGAAGGGTAAACACCTTTAAAATCCCTCCTGGCCAGAGGAAAAACCCTTTCACCTCTAAAGGGTTAAGAAGCTAGGATAACCTCGCTGGCACCTGACCAAAATGACCAATGAGGAGACAAGATACTTTCAAAGCTGGAGGGGGGGAGAAACAAAGGCTATCTCGGTATGCGTGTTGTTTTGCTGGGAACAGAAAAGGAATGGACTCTTAGAACTTCGTAACAGGTTTCAGAGTAACAGCCGTGTTAGTCTGTATTCGCAAAAAGAAAAGGAGTACTTGTGGCACCTTAGAGACTAACCAATTTATTTGAGCATGAGCTTTCGTGAGCTACAGCTCACTTCATCGGATGCATACCGTGGAAACTGCAGCAGACTTTGTATACACACAGAGAATATGAAACAATACCTCCTCCCACCCCACTGTCCTGCTGGTATTACAGTGGGGTGGGAGGAGGTATTGTTTCATATTCTCTGTGTGTATACAAAGTCTGCTGCAGTTTCCACGGTATGCATCCGATGAAGTGAGCTGTAGCTCACGAAAGCTCATGCTCAAATAAATTGGTTAGTCTCTAAGGTGCCACAAGTACTCCTTTTCTTTTTAGAACTTAGTAAGTAATCTAGCTAGATATGCCTTAGATTCTGATTTCCTCAAATGGCTGAGAAAATAAGCTGTGCTGAATGGAATGTATATTCCTGTTTTTGTGTCTTTTTGTAACTTAAGGTTTTGCCTAGAGGGATTCTCTATATTTTGAATCTGATTACCCTGTAAGGTATTTACCATCCTGATTTTACAGAGGTGATTCTTTTACTTTTTTCTTCTATTAAAATTCTTCTTTTAAGAACCTGATTGCTTTTTCATTGTTCTTAAGATCCAAGGGTTTGGGTCTGTGTTCACCTATGCAAATTGGTGAGGATTTTTATCAAGCCTTCCCCAGGAAAGGGGGTGTAGGTCTTGGTAGGATTTTGAGGGGAAAGACGTTTCCAAGCGGGTTCTTTCCCTGTTATATATTTGTTAGATGTTTGGTGGTGGCAGTGATAAAGTACAAGGGCAAAAGGTAAAATAGTTTGTACCTTGGGGAAGTTTGAACCTAAGCGGGTAAAAATAAACTTAAGGGGTCTTTCATGCAGGTCCCCACATCTGTACCCTAGAGTTCAGAGTGGGGAAGGAACCTTGACATACCTCTTCCACACACAGAGGTTCTTTTAACAGACCACACCCTTCTAGAAAAAGACGACTAAATGTAACTTCCTTAGTTCTTCAGAGAATTGACATTGATCTATAAAAGACATGACCTTCTCCTCAGATGCTACAAGCCCGGGAAGAGGGAAAGGCGAGGAATCAAATGTAAGACCCCTCTCCAACCTCATTACAAACAAAACCCTACAACGATACTCAGACTGAGGCTCAAGAGCTGCAAGTGGCTCTTGAATGTGTCTCTTGCTGTTCTTTATAGCACATAGTAAAACAATGTGTGATTTAATTATTAATCAAACTAAGTTATTAACCAATCATGATGCTTTCAGTATGTTATTAACCAATTGTAGTTGATAAAATAATAATACTTGGTCAGTCAAAAACTAAATATTTCCCATCATATTGTTTAAATATGAATATATAGTACTATAGTAAATGAAACAATGCAGTCGCACTACTCTGGCTCTTTTGGGTAATGTGGATTCCTAATTTGGCTCCTGAACCACTGAGGGTCTGAGTATCACTGCCCTACAACTAGGCTGCAAATGCATTCTTTAAGGAGGAATCGGGCTTCAATTTGTTTTTTCTTTAACTAAGTGGAAAGCAATGTTTACTATTTTACCTTATTGTTTCAGTGCCCCAAACGTCAATATCCAAATAAAAACATTATAAGGGAAAGCAACAGCTAGACTACAAAAAGAAAAGGGGTACTTGTGGCACCTTAGAGACTAACCAATTTATTTGAGCATGAGCTTTTGTGAGCTACAGCTCACTTCATCGGTTGCATCATGATGCATCCGTTGAAGTGAGCTGTAGCTCACAAAAGCTTATGCTCAAATAAATTGGTTAGTCTCTAAGGTGCCACAAGTACCCCTTTTCTTTTCGCGGATACAGACTAACACGGCTGCTACTCTGAAGCTAGACTACAGCAGCTTTTCAGTTGAAGGAAACCTCCGTCCCATAAGACTGTTCAGAAGGTGCCCCCTGCTGGCAGCTAACATGTTTGAAGATTGTCTCATTGTTTCTATACTAGCAGGAAAGCAAAGCTTTCATCCTTACCCATAATTTCATTCTTAGAAATAAGCACAGTTTCCAGCTGTTGGGAGTGAGACAGGCCAAAGCTTCAAACTGCAGAGAAATTGGTATCACAAGCTCAGGCCACAGTGGATTTTTTTTAACGAGAGAACACAAGACTACATGTTTACATGGAACACTTTGCAACTCAGACCTTGTATATACATGCGTAACAGTGAATAATGTTGCACCTCCTCCCCACCCACTCTCCCAAAAAGTGTAACGGAAGCATGTGGCAAGAGGATCAGTTAACCATAGTCCCTATCCATCAAACATATTTAGATATGTGAGCTGCTGGAGAAGCCATGCTAATACTGGACTAAACTGTTCATTTCAGTGATATAAATCAGCTCTCAAAATATTTTGTCTGCAGACTGAAAACAACATTGTCTATGGACAAATTATTGTGTGTGTAAATGTGTGCCTGCCGGAAGAGGAGCAGGGAGAAGGGGGAAGACTTGATAAACACACCTCTGAGTTCTGATGATAGTCACGTGCTCAAGTGTACTTACCATGCACCTTTGACCACCTCAGCTGCACGGTGCCCACCTCTGGAAGAAAGAATAAGCTTCTAGGCATCTTCAAATAGCCACCATTTTGCAGAGAGAGGGGAAAAAACCAATCCTGCCAGAGAGGCGTTTCCTTCTTCCTATTAATCCCCCACCCACAACACATGGACTTTCCCTCCAAAATTACACTTGGGTAAAAGCCAGGGTAATATTAAAGTCCTGCAATAGCAGCAGGTTTAAAATCTCATCTCACAAGAACCAGAAAGGGTTTTGTACTGTACTCATCGCTGTGCAATCTTGAGTGCCTCACAAGTAAATAAAAGATTCATTCTTTCGTCTTTGGTTCTTTCTCCCTTACCTCTCCTTGGTGCTGAAGGGATGTTTTAAAATGCATTTCTTGCTGAGGGCAAGCACAGTGACAAGTCTTGTCTTTGTGAAGGCAGTGAAGCTAATTTTCCTCCTGATCTCCACACTGAAGGCACTTCCACAACTGTGCGCCAGTCCTGAACAAAGCTCTGTCCCCAGCACTCATGACTCCCTCTCCTTTTGCAGGTGGCTCCCTTATTCATAAGGAGCACAGTTGTCATTAAAAGGTCTTGTTGACTTACAGCTGGGTTCCCAAGTAAGAGTCCCAAGCTCATGAAAACTAAGAAAATTAGGACAGTGACCTTGATCCATTGTTAAATGGGCTCCAGTACAGAAACAAGAACTCCAGGGTGAGGTGTTCTCTTCCACTGCTGCTGCTTACCAGATACACTGTTGCATTCCACACTAGTTGGAGTTTTAAGGGCTTGTATGTTTATTCCCAGGCATAGGGCATTGCAGCAATCCAACTTGGAGGTCCCAAAGCCATGGATCACCATGACTAGGACTGCAACTGTCCAAAGAGGGCATAGTTGAAAGAAAGGATTTCTGGAAGTCACTCTTATTTGGGTAGCTACATTCAGTGAATTAACCAGGACTGAAGAGCTGTACATTGGCTTGATCTGTGGCCTCGTTCTGCGATGACTGGTGGTGCTATAGGGCTAGCTATTTCTTCAAAATATCTCCCTTTCTCAAAAAGATCACCTCTGTCTAGCCCAGAGAAAAGGAAGCTTTATTCCAACAGAAAGGAAAGAGTCCTGAATCTGCACTACAGCTACCTCCAATGGAGCTGCAGGTATGAAAAACCTTAAGGTACAACAGCCTTCTTGTGGTAAGACGAGAAGCTAAAGAGAAACCTCCACCTACATCCCTGGGAGATGTAGTGCCATAGAAGAGGTACACACACAGTCCTGTAGAAGACAGCGCAACAGCTGTCACTGACTGTGGGAGTTCTCACTAATCCTAGGAGTTCACTGCCCCTTCTACAGGCAAAGTATTGGAAGTTTTGCAGTGCTGTTTATAGACTATTCTTTTTTAATTCCTGCACATGTAAGGAAGGCACACATTTAAGAACATGCTTAAAAAGTTCCTTTTATACAGCCCCTTCTTCTAGAGCTTTCCCACTGACTCAACATTTAAAGATAGAACATTTCATACCCTCAATAAGGTTCAAACCCTGCCTTCTCCCCACTAAGATAACCCCATATCTGTAAAAATAAGTTGATCCATAAATAAATTTACAAGAGAAACATCTGGAAGCAGCCTTTATTTGTAGTCAGCTACATGAACACAATGTCTTCCACTTCTATTCTTGCTCCTTTGATAACTGACGATTTCCTACATTTTCTACACGCACAAACCCAGCATTGTAACAAATCATGAGCAACATGAAGTTTCCTAACCTCCACCCAAGCACACTTAATAATATAATCTGTATGTAGCTCTTGTTTTTAGCTTCCTGAGAATCTCCATAAGAGAGGATACTATTGAAGCTCACAATTTTAACTATTAAGGTGATCAGTGTGAATAGTGCATATGCTTGTGGTGCAATTTCAAAACCTCAGCTCACGCCAGAGATGTACTTGACAAAAATGTTTTGTATTTTTAAAAAAATGCTCTAATAGATAAAATCTCTCTTCCATAAAAGTACTTTTCTTTTCACATCTGCATTGATTAAACAAGGTTAAGAACATAGTTTTTCAAACTGAACCGTCTTTTTTACAAAGGAAAAGCATCTTCTTAAATCCCCACTGCTCTCCAGTCAAGGGTACAGATAGTATTTATGATACCTCAATGCAATATCACACAATAAACCTTAAATCAGACCGCATCAGAATCTAAATGAAGCTCATTAGTTTAAATTTACAAGAACCACCTTTAACTGAAACACCCACTACGATACATATATTCCCTGGAGCATACCTCATACATGACATTTTTGTTAACTTTATGTACAGTGTTTTACTGTAGTATTAAAACCACACACAGAAAATTTCTGTAGCCACATCAAAACTAGCTTAGTTTTCTTAACAGGGACAGCAGGCCTAAAGTCTAAATAAGAATAGCACCAATAAGCAGAACAATGTATATTCATATCATTACATCTCAGAGTAAACAAATTAGCAGAGTATGTGCTGGCAAAAATATCCTCAAAATCCATGTTGTAACCTTTTAGGATCATTGTCATAATAGGACAAAAGAATTGGTACTCTTGAAAAACAACTTCATGTACAGGTCTTAAAATTCCTGTTGATTAAAAAACACAGGGCAAATGTATTTGGAACAGGGTTCTTGTCTGTGAAAAGCAGGTGCCCATGGGGCACAAAGTTCTGTTATGTCAGCATCATTTTTCTGTGAATAGAGTGAAAGACAGACAACTTGGAGCTGAAAGAGAATAGAACGCTATGCTGGCCTATAAAGGGAAAAGTTAATGAGGCAGGAAGAAAAAGAAAAATAAGAAGTGAACAGACAACATTTAGGAAAGAGATGGAAATGCTGAAGGTTGTTGGACTCTATGAATCAGGAAAGGCTCCTTCAAATGCAAATATTCTATGATTAAAAGAGATGCGGGAAAAAGGTAAAAGAAAATAACTAGACAACATTTAATTAATTTATACCTCATTCTTCTTCCATTTGATTGTATTTCGATGGAAGTTGCTCTGTTAGTCTGGAAAGGGGAAGGTGGTAACCGCACTGGAGTCAGCCTGTTGCCCATTGCTAGGCAAGTAACTACGTTCATGTGGAAGAGATCTTTAAAACGTACAAGGCACTGTAGCTGATACTTTCCCCTTGTTTCAAGCCCTCTTTTAGCTATGAAAGGCCTATTGTGCAGTTAAATAAGGAGAGATTCTTCAAAATGCTAGGGCATTAACAATAAGGTGCGTCCTGCTGTTGACACACAGATTTATTCATATTTGGAAAAAGCCCAACTTTTAAAACAGAAAAAAAGCCATGAAAGGAATATGGAAAGGAGGGCTATGCAACACAGTGTTTTTAATTAATGGTAAGTTAACCACGGGGCATAGAAATGACTGTTTCCACTGGCTACATCAGAGCTGATCCTGACTTTTACCTCACGGACATAGGAAATGACTGTATACGCAGCAAACTATTGCAGCCTTGCTTGAAACACACAGATAAGTGTGTCTCTATTGTTCAGTCCTCTTAAATTTCTCTGTTCCCAGATCCCAGCAATTTCTCAATGCCAAAGTTCAGACTGACACACCCAGAAAACTAAATACAATAGCTGTTTCAATGCAAGGCAGCTAGACTAGCCAGGAATGCATTTTAACATAGCTTTCCTCTCAAAGAACAGCAGTCAGCAGTAACTTCACTCCCCACATCTGAATGGCAGTCAATCCCATAGCAGCTGTATCTACTCCTCGCAATAGCAATTGAACTGGTGCATTTCAACCACACTATGCAGCCTCTGAAACAGAACTGTGAAATCTACAAAGCAATCCAGCCCTATGCTCAGTCCATTGCTCCAAATATTCTGACTCCACAGTATTCATGTCATTTGGTTTTCATGTGCATCCCTAGTGTTTTTCAAAGGGATGGAGGGTATTTTTGCTGGAATAGTATGCTGGCTGGTCTCAGAACATTCTCACACAACCCGCACCAATTGTCCAAGTCCAAAAAATTATTTAGGTTACAGGATGCATGACCTTTACTCAAAGAGCCAGTCAACAGACCCTTTTGTTAGGATGTGCTTGGAAATCAATGCATTTATGTACCAAATGTTTTTGCAATCTCTGAACAGAGCTGGGAATCAGACTCAACTTTATGTCTGTGGTTTATAAAAGTGCTAATGGGGCAAGCAGGGGAAATATGTTTCTATTGATGCATGATATTTCTGGTATTGTACATTTAATTTCCTAAAGCTTACTATTATTATTATTACAGTATCCACTTCATTTGCCTGTTAATTTCAGCACACCCTTTACCATGGCCCCAATACCATCAAAGATGTGATGCAATTCCGTTTCACACATAAATGCTGGGGTAGTAACCATCTTGTTATTCACGTCTACATGAGCTTCGTGGAAGAGAGTTAAGGAAAACACAGCCAACCTAGTATTTGCAGATGCTGTCTGCAGAATGAAACACCACCACCTACATCTTCAATAAATATCTTCCCCAACCCCCAAGTAATGTAAAGATGGTCATAGTTGTAGCCTCAGAATGGAGATGTTCTACTTATTTTTTCAGAAATACCAGTATTGTATCAATGGGGAAAAGAGTATTAATGATTACATGAGAAGATGGGAAACTCCTTGCTTAGAAGTTAATGCTTCAGGGTAAAGATGTCTTGGTCACAGCTTTAGACTTTTGGAAAAAGAAAGAAATGAATTTCAAACAAAACTGACTAGTTATGGGGTCCTTTTCCATTGATAGATTGTACTTGTAGGCCATTATATATAGCACTTCTGACTTAACCGCTGCACTGGTTGTGCCAGAGGAGTTTCAGGCAACAACTGAGCACCATGTGTAAGGATTCAGCCACACAATTAACTTGATAAATCAATGGGAATAATGCTGCCTAATCCACATGTATCATACTACAGGATAGTCCTACCAGACTATCAACAGTTAAGCATCAACTCTGTGTATTTTTGCAACTGTGCTGACTTATACATTAAGAATAGCCGTGTCCCTCAACACTTGATCACGGATTATTAATTGGAAAGGATATAGTTACTTCTTTTACACAGTGTTTTCCTCCCAGTGCTTTAATGGCTACTGCAGTTCCAGCATAAGGCCATTTCCCACCTTCCTCTTCTTCATGTCCCACAGTAACTTCAGCACCAGGAAGAACTTTTGCAGCCAACACTGGTGAAATGCAGCACAGGCTGCAAGAAAAATAAGAAAGGTTACTCCAGCGAGACTACTTCTTAAAAGAATGAATTATAATTATGAAACTTCAAATGCACATATATGTAAAGATCATAAAGTCAAACATGAAAAAGTAATTTCTTTCCAGCTACATCAGGCTTTTCCTGGCAAGCAAGGTAAACTTTTTCTTAGCTTCTCTTTCTTCCTACCATCTTGAAAGAAGATTTTTTTTTTAAATGAACCACTAATAAATGCAAGGCTGAATACATTTTTTCTAGCTCAAAGACTAACATCCACCCACTTACCTAGCATTTGTTTTATCTCTGCTCTCACAGAAATTATCAACTACACAACAGCACTTTCAATTGCTCCTCTAAATGTACCATACCCAATGCTCCTAGAATGTACATACCCAATGGGTTTCCCAGCTTTGTGGAACTCCTTTAGGACACGTTCAACCTCTCCATTCACTTTGCAATCCTTCCCATCCACAGCAAAGGTGGAACTGCCACGACAAGAAGCTTTCGTTAACACCTCAATATAATGCTATGACTTTATATGTGGACACTCAGAGCAGCTCTCAATGGACATCAATAATGGAAAGTGGATACTAACGCTTCACTGCGTCAAGTAACAAATTATAAACGACAAATCTTAGTTTTAACTAAGTACTAAGTGTTCTAACATTTTGCGGAAACAGTATAGCAATGCTACCAGATTTTCAGATCATTACCAGAACAGAACAAATAATTTCTTATGACGACACAGCAAGGAACATCCTAGAAGAAGCCATTTCATAGAATCATAGAACCATACGGTTAGAAGCAGTGGTGAGCTGGAACCGGTTTGCACCGGTTCGCTAGAACCGGTTGTTAAATTTAGAAGCCCTTTTAGAACCGGTTGTCCCTCGCGGAACAACTGGTTCTAAAAGGGCTTCTAAATTTAACTGGCCAAAAGCGGCGCCTTAGGTGCCAACTCCACGGGTGCTCCAGCCCTGGAGCACCCAAGGGGGAAAATTTGGTGGGTGCAGAGCACCCACCAGCCGCTCCCCACCCCCGGCCCCAGCTCACCTCACCTCCGCTCCGCCTCCTCCCCTGAACGTGCCGCTCCGCTCTGCTTCTCCGCCCCCCACCCCAGGCTTCCCGCAAATCAGCTGTTCGCGCGGAAAGCCGGGGCAGGCTGAGAAGCAAGCAGCGGCTTCCCGCTCAGGCCCAGGGAGGCAGAGCGGAGGTAAGCTCGAGGGAGGGGGGGAGGAACGGACGGACGAGGAGTGCCGCCCGTGGGAACGTGCGTGAGCGCAGGCGAACCGCTCCCCACCCCAGATCACCTCCGCCACCCTTGGCCTGAGCAGGAAGCCACGGCCTGCTTCTCAGCCCTCCCCAGCTTCCTGCCGAACAGCTGATTCGCGGGAAGCCGGGGCCGGGGGAGGGGGCGGAAAAGCAGAGCGGGGCGGTGGTTTCAGGGAAGGAGGTAGAGGCGGAGTGGAGGTGAGCCTGGGTCGGGAGCGGGACGCTGCTGGTGGGTGCTCTGCACGCACCAATTTTCCCAGTGGGTGCTCCAGCCCCGGAGCACCCATGGAGTCAGCACCTAACGCACCACTTTTGATGTGATCAGTGGGGGGGGAGCGGCCGCTCCCCTGCTCCCCCCACAGCTCCACTCTCCCACCCCTAGGAGCCAGAGGGACCTGCCGGATGCTTCCTGGGAGCTGCCCCAGATAAGCACCGCCGGGACCCACCTCACCCCCCAGCAGGTGCCTCTGGCTCTTAGGGGTGGGGTGGGCACCCACTACGGTGGCCTACGAGACTCTCCTGCCCGGTTCTGGGGGCAGTCAGTGGACAGGGGTCCTGGGGGGGTGGGCGTCAAGGAACGTGGGGGGGGTGGATGGGACAGGAGTCCCGGAGGTTGGACAAGGACCCCCTCGTGGGGTGAGGAGGGAACCCGTTGTTAAGATTTTGGCAGCTCATCACTGGTTAGAAGGGACCACAAGGATCATCTAGTCTAACCCCCTGCCAAGATGCAGGATTTGTTGTGTCTAAACCATCCAAAACAGATGGTTAAAAAAAAAACCACTCAAATTTCTCAAAAGAATCAAAGAGAATAAGAAGACTAATTGGTCACAAGACACATGGGGTTTCACTTGGCTAATCCATGAACTTTTTGAAAGGAAATTATTTAGTGATTAGTTTAATACTATCCCAACACTTTCTATATAGACTGAGGCAGAAAGAAGTAAGAGAAAGATACTGAAAATGATCTAAAATTAAAAGTTTTATAAACTTCACTACTTCCCTCTATTATGCCCCCAAAACCACCACCACACAGAAAGGAAAGGTTTTTTTTTAATGTGGCGTGTAAGCACTAGAACTGCTGCCTAGTTTTGGTGGGAAATTTTTCAGTGTGGAATTTTCAGATTACAAAATGGCACACTAACAATAATAAGAATCATGTATGGAAACCCCCACCCACCCATCCATGTGCAGCACTGAAAATGTTATACTATGGAAATCCCCAAACAATTTGAAAGAAGTCTTCCTTAGCTCCAATGGCTCTCAACCTTTCCCAACTACTGTACCTCTTTCAGGAGTCCGAGTTGTCTTGCGTACTCTCAAGTTTCTCCTCACTTAAAAACTATTTTCTTACAAAATCAGACATAAAAATACAAAAATGTCACAGCACACTAGTACTGAAAAATTGCTTACTTTCTCATTTTTACCATATAATTATAACTAGGGCTGTCAAGTGATTAAAAAATTAAGCGGGATCAATCGCACTGTTAAACAATAATCGAGTACCATTTATTTAAAGATTTTTGGATGTTTTCTACATTTTTAAATATATTGATTTCAATTACAACACAGAATACAAAGTGTACAGTGCTCACTTTATATTAGTATTTTTTATTACAAATATTTGCACTGTAAAAAACCAAAATAAATAGTATTTTTCATTTCACCTAATACAAGTACTGTAGTGCAATATCTTTATCATCAAAGTTGAACTTACAAATACAGAATTATGTACAAAAAAATTGTATTCAAAAATAAAAAATTGTAAAATTTTAGAGCTTGCAAAAGTCCACTCAGTCCTACTTCTTGTTCAGCCAATCACTTAGACAAACAAGTTTGTTTACATTTGCAGGAGATAATGCTGTCGGCTTCTTGTTTACAATGTCACCGGAAAGTGAGAACAGGCGTTCGCATGGCACTGTTGTAGCTGGCGCTGCAAGGTATTTACATGCCAGATGCGCTAAAGATTCATATGTCCTTTCATGCTTCAACCACCATTCCAGAGGACATGCATCCATGCTGATGACGATTTCTGCTCAATAACAATCCAGAGCAGTGCGGACTGATGCATGTTCATTTTCATTATCTGAGTCAGATGCCACCAGCAGCAGGTTGATTTTCTTTTTTGGTGGTTCGGTTCTGTAGTTTCCGCATCGGAGTGTTGCTCTTTTAAGACTTCTGAAGCATGCTCCACGCCTCGTCATTCTCACATTTTGGAAGGCACTTCAGATTCTTAAACCTTGGGTCAAGTGCTGTAGCTATCTTTAGAAATCTCACATTGGTACCTTCTTTGCATTTTGTCAAATCTGCAGTGAAAGTGTTCTTAAAATGAACAACATGTGCTGGGTCATCATCCGAGACTGCTATAACATGAACTATATGGCAGAATGTGGGTAAAACAGAGCAGGGGACATACAATTCTCCCCCAAAGAGTTCAGTTACAAATTTAATTAATGCATCATTTTTTTAACGAGCTTCATCAGCACGTCCTCTGGAAAGGTGGCCGAAGCATGAAGGGGTATACGTATGTTTAGCATATCTGTCACGTAAATAGCTTGCAATGACAGGGGGACAGTGTGGCACAATAAGTAAGGCATTGGACTGAGAATCCAGAAACCTTGGTTCTGTTCTCAACTCTGCTACTGGCCTGCTGGGTGACCTTAGCTAAGGGCATGGCTACACTTGCAGATGTAAAGCCCTTTGAGTTAAACCAGTCTTCGGAGAGAGCAGTAGGGAAAACGCTGCAGTCTGTCCACATTGACAGCTTCAAGCGCACTGTTGTGGCGGCACTTGCAGTGGCATTGGGTGTGGTGCATTATTGGCAGCTATCCCAGCATACAAGTGACTGCAATGTGCTTTTCAAATGGGGGAAGTGGAGTGTGACAGGGATTGCGTTGTGGGGGAAGAGAAAGAGGGAGTTTTTGGGAGGCTGAGAGCATGTCAGCATGCTGTCTTGTAAGTTCAGACAGCAGCAGATCCCCCCCTCCCCGCCCCTGCCCCTCTCTCTCTCTCTCTCTCTCACACACAGCATTCCATAGTAATGGTTGCTTTGTCTCGGAGCAGATAAGCATGCCGGCTGTCAGAAATGGAGCTTTCAAAGGGCATATCTGCATTCCTACAGTGATTCAAAAACAATGAGAAGAGTGGCCACTTGACTTAAGGGGATTATGGGACATTTCCGGAGGCCAGTCAGAACGCAGTAATGCAACATCTCGTTCACACTGACACCCAGGTGTTGTAGCCAAGGCACAGCAAACGTTATTCCACTCGCCGAGGTGGAGTACCAGGAGCGCTCTACGTACCTTGCCAATGTGGATGGGTAGTAAGCTAGGGGGCCCGGGACTGCTTTAATGCACTCTAACTCACAAATGTAGCCAAGCCCTCAGTCACTTCATTGTGTTGTTTTTGCGGGCTCCAGTGGTGCAAAGGGTTAGCGCATCTTACTTATAGAGCAGTGCTGCATGGAGTGATGCTGAGGTTGTGAGTTCAAGCTTCATCTGGAGCACCAGTTGTTTTTTTCTTGGGAGGGTTGTGAAGCACTGGAATGGGTTACCTAGGGAGGTGGTGGAATCTCCTTCCTTAGAGGTTTTTAAGGTCAGGCTTGACAAAGCCCTGGCTGGGATGATTTAGTTGGGGATTGGTCCTACTTTGAGCAGGAGGTTGGACTAGACCTCCGGAGGTCCCTTCCAACCATGAAATTCTGTGATTCTATGACACCTACAAAAGTGCCATGCAAATGCCTATTCTCACTTTCTGGTGACATTGTAAATAAGAAGAGGGCAGCATGATCTCCTGTAAATGTAAACAAATGTGTTTGTCTTAGTGATTGGTTGAACAAGAAGTAGGACTGAGTGGACTTGTAGGCTCTGAAGTTTGACACTGTTTAGTTTTTGAGTGCAGTTATGTAACAAAAGAAAATTTACATTTGTAAATTGTACTTTCACAACAAAGAGATTGCACTACAGTACTTGTATGAGGTGAACTGAAAAATACTATTTCTTTTGTTTATCATTTTTACAGTGCAAATATTTATAATCAAAAATAATATACACTTGGATTTCAATTACAACACAGAATAAAATATATATGAAAATGTAGCTAAACATCCAAAATATTTAATAAATTTCAATTGGTATTCTATTTAACAGTGTGATTTAAACTGCGATTAATCGCGATTAATTTTTAAAATTATTATAACATAAATCAATTAGGAACATAAATATCGTACTTTCATTTCAGTGCATAGTACATAGAGCAGTACAAATAAGTTATTGTCTGTATGAAATTTTAGTTTGTACCGACTTTGCTAGTGCTTTTTATGTAGCCTGTTGTAAAACTAGGCAAATTTCTAGATTAGTTGATGTACCCCCTGGAAGACCTATGCATATCCCTGGTTGAGAACCACTGGGGTAGACTATGTAAATTAACATATTTTACAAAAAGGCCACTAACTGTTTCCTATTATTACTGTCTGAGTTATGCATAAAGGATTTCTGTATCACTTTACTTAACTTGGCACTCACAGGTTTTTAGCAGCTCCGAATCCACCAGGGAATATCACAGCATCATGGTCCTTTGTACTAAGTTTAGCCAGGTCTGTGATTTTACCACGAGCAACCCTTGCTGATTCCACTAAAACGTTTCTTGAAGAACAAGAAATAAAGCAATAAGAGGAATGAAGCCAGTGCATACAAGTGCGGTGAAACTGTGTAAGAAAAGGGTGTTATTTTTGAAGAGTTGAAAATAATGACCCTGAATAACTACAGCTACAGCTGCTTCTGAAACAGAACTGGAATATACAGTACCCATGAGCCAAGACAAAGTCACAAGACAAAGAATCTAAGGTTTTCTCACATACAAAATATTAGTAGGCATAAAGTTAAACACTTTGGGAAAATTGCTACTAGTAAATATTTAGCACAGGGCATAACTCCTGCAGCACGTCCCTGTGGCACAAGCTCAAGAAGCAGGAGCCATCTTGTGCAAATTAAATGTAGCTCTTACCTTGATTCAGCCTCAGTTGGTTGTCCTTTGCTGTGGTCAATAACATGCATCTGAGGAATATCTGGGGCATACATCTGAACTTCAGCTCCCCCACGACTCAGGTGAACCAAAATACTACACAATAGGTAAAAATATGATGAAAGCCTTAGAAGAGAGGGAGTCTTAAGGAGCCAGTTAGAGAAGGTTTTTATCTGGCTCTGACTCCTACCAGAAATATATTATGTTTTGGAAAACAGTACTGACAAAGTAGCATAAAAAATGACCGCAAAGTGTCAGTTTTTAGAGAACATATAGGGCAGGGGTCCCCAAACCGTGGGGTGCGCCCCCCCCTAAGGGGGTGTGGAGGAACATTTGAGGGGGTGACCGCAGCAGGACCTGGGCCAACGCCCACAGGGAGTGGGAGGGAGCACCACCCCAGCCCAGCTCCACCTCTAGCCACAGCTCCTCGCCCATTCCCAGTTCTGTCCCCAGCTCTGCCTTCAGCCCACATGTTCCTCTGCTGACCCAACTGTGTGTGGGGGGGGAGGGGGGGGCACACAGACAGACAGATTCCATTACTGGTAAGGGGAGGGCTGCGACAGGAAAAGTTTGGGCACCAGTGGTATAGGGCATTTATTATAGTCTGTAAAGGGGGGAAGTGAGGTGGAAGACTAGATGAGCTTCAGTTGTTACCTTAAACCCCTTTGATTGCCATGTTATTTACTCTTGTTATAGAAATCAGTACAGTCTTCCTTCAGAACTGTAAGAGGAGTCCAAATGTCTCATGAAAGGGCATTAAGATCAATGTCCCATTATCTGATATACAGTGTGATAGGTTAAACTCAGTGTGAATATTAACAATCCTGGCACTGGAACTTGGCCCAGAAAGGTGATTATGAAATAAGGAAGTCTGTGGTCTTGCTTCCTAAGCTGCAAACGCTAGAGCAGCAGCTAGTGTTGCTTGGGAGAGAAGGACTGTTGACCAATAGCTCATTGCTCTGGCTTAGCATGTGGTGGTGATGGAGTCTGCCCACTTCTCCTCATCCAGAAGCATCCAGTATGAGAACTTAAGGAGGACCATAAAGCTGAGACAAAATGGTGGATTTTCATGGGGTATGGAAAGAATCAACCCTGGGAGAAAACCACACACCATCAAGGCTCTTCCAGGGTAGTACCGACACCCCTGGGAAACTGGAAATTAATTAAATAGAATAAAATGCTCTAATCATGTGAAGAATACTTTTCTGGACTCTGCAATAATGCAAAGCTGCTTACGCTGAGGCCTCATGGATTTCCGTACCATCATACACACCACATCCAGACAAGACCTGCAAAGAGAAAATCAAACACAATATTTCAGACAAAATATGTATTTTTCTGCATCGGTTTTCACTGCAGAAGATGTGGGGGAGATTTCCACACCCATCCATTCTTTTCAGGTGATAAATCTGAGAAAGTTACCCAAACTGAGATGTCAATACGGGAGATTTCGGAACTGATAAATTAAAGTGTCACTGGGTCCAAATGGTATTCAACGAAGAGTTCTGTAGGAACTCAGATATGAAATTGCAGAACTACTAACTGTGGTAAGTAATCTATTGCTTCAATCTGTACAAGATGACTGGAGGGTAGCTAATGTAAGGCCCATTTTTTAAAAAGGCTCCACAGGTAATCCTCGCAATTAGAGACTGATAAACCTAACTTCAGCACCAGGCAAATTGCTTGAAATGACAGTAAAGAACAAAATTATCAGACACATGGATAAACACAATATGTTGGGGAAGAGTCTTTTGTAAAAAGAAGTCATGCATCACCAATCTATTAGAATTCTTTGAGGGTATCAACAAGTATATGGACAAAGGTGTCCCAATCAATACGGTGAGTAAACTTTCAGAAAGCCTTTGACAAGGTCATCACCAAAGGCTCTTAAGCGAACTAAGCAGTCGTGGGATAAGAGGAAAGGTCCTATCATGGAGCAGTAACTGGCTAAAAGATAGGTTTCAGAGTAGCAGTAGTGTTAGTCTGTATCCGCAAAAAGAAAAGGAGTACTTGTGGCACCTTAGAGACTAACCAATTTATTTGAGCATAAGCTTTTGTGAGCTACAGCTCACTTCATCAGATGCATTCAGTGGAAAATACAGTGGGGAGATTTATATACACAGAGAACATGAAACAATGGGTGTTACAATACACACTGTAACAAGAGTGATCAGGAAAGGAGAGCTATCACCAGCGGGGAAGGGGGGGGTAGGGCGGAGGACCTTTTGTAGTGATAATCAAGGTGGGCCATTTCCAGCAATTGATAAGAACATCTGAGGAACGGCGGTGGGGGTGGCGGCTCAGGCAGAGACAAACACCTACAAGATCTCTATCAAGCATTCTTACAACTACAATACCCACCTACTGAAGTGAAGAAACAGACTGACAGAGCCAGAAGAGTACCCAGAAACTACCTACTAGAGGACAGGCCCAACAAAGAAAATAACAGAACGCCACTAGCCATCCCCTTCAGCTCCCAACTAAAACCTCTCCAACGCATCATCAAGGATCTACAAGCTATCCTGAAGGACGACCCATCACTCTCACAGATCCTGGGAGACAGACCAGTCCTTGCTTACAGACAGCCCCCTCAACCTGAAGCAAATACTCACCAGCAACCACAAGCCACACAACAAAAACACTAACCCAGGAACCTATCCTTGCAACAAAGCCCGTTGCCAACTCTGTCCACGTAGCTATTCGGGGGACACCATCATAGGGCCTAATCACATCAGCCACACTATCAGAGGCTCGTTCACCTGCACATCTACCAATGTGATATATGCCATCATGTGCCAGCAATGCCCCTCTGCCATGTACATTGGCCAAACTGGACAGTCTCTACGTAAAAGAATAAATGGACACAAATCAGACGTCAAGAATTATAACATTCAAAAACCAGTTGGAGATCACTTCAATCTCTTTGGTCACTCGATTACAGACCTAAAAGTGGCAATTCTTCAACAAGAAAACTTCAAAAACAGACTCCAACGAGAGACTGCTGAATTGGAATTAATTTGCAAACTGGATACAATTAACTTAGGCTTGAATAAAGGCTGGGAGTGGATGGGTCATTACACAAAGTAAAACTATTTCCCCATGTTTATTCCCCATGTTTATTCCCCCCCTCCCCCCCCCACCCCCCGGCTGTTCCTCAGACGTTCTTGTCAACTGCTGGAAATGGCCCACTTTGATTATCACTAAAAAAGGTTCCCCCCGCCCCACCGGTAATAGCTCACCTTACCTGATCACTCTGGTTACAGTGTGTATGGTAACACCCATTGTTTCATGTTCTCTGTGTATATAAATCTCCCCACTGTATTTTCCACTGAATGCATCCGATGAAGTGAGCTGTAGCTCATGAAAGCTTATGCTCAAATAAATTGGTTAGTCTCTAAGGTGCCACAAGTACTCCTGTTCTTTTGGCTAAAAGATAGAAAACAAAGCGTAGGAATAAATGGTTGGTTTTCACAATGGAGAGAGGGAAGTAGAAGGGACCCCCAGAACCTCTACTGTGACCAGTGCAGTTCAGTATATTCATAAACAATCTAAGAAAAGGGCGAACAGTGTGGTGGCAAAATTTGGAGATGATTCAATATTACCCGAGAATCTTGGGCCAAGATAGTTAAGTTCAAAGTTGACTGTAAAGATTACAAAGAGATCTGACAAAACTGGGTGACCGGGCAACAAAATGGCAGATGAAATTCAGTGTTGAAAAGTGCAAAGTAACACATACTGGGAAAAATAATCACAACTATACGTACAGAACAATGGGGTCTAAATTAGCTGTTACCATTCAAGAAAGAGATGGATAGTTCTCTGAAAATTTTCACTCAATGTGCAGCGGCAGTTAAATAAATGACCAATGTTAGATATCACTACGAAAGGGGTAGATAATAACACAGAAAATATCATATTGCCACTATATAAATCCATGCTATGCTCACATGCTAAATACCGCATGCAATTCTGGTAACATGATCTCAGAAAAGATGTATTAGAATTGGAAAAGGTGCAGAGAAGGGCAACAAAGATGACTAGAGATATGCAACAGCTTTCATATGAGGAGAGATTAATAAGACTGGGACTGTTCAGCTTAGAAAAGAGACAACTAAGGGGGGCTATGAGAGAGGTCTATAAAACCATGACTGGTGTGGAGAAAGTGAACAGGAAAGTATTACTTACTCCTTCACATAACACAAGAACTAGGGACCTGATTAAATTAATAAGAAGCAGGTTTAAAAACAAAACAAGGAAGTTCTTTTTAACACAACACACGGTCAACCTGTGCAACTCATTGCCCAGGATGCTGTGAAGGCTAAACGTACAACTGAATTAAAAAAAGAATTAGATCTATTCATGGAGGATATGTCCAGCAATGGCTACTAGCCAAGGTGGTCCGGGACACAACCCCATGCTCTCAAGGTCCCTAAATTGCCAAAGACCAGACGCTGGGATTGGATGACGGGATGGATCACTTAAAATTGCCCAGTTCTGTTCATTCCCTCTGGGGCACCTGGCATTGGCCACTGTCAGAAGACAGGATACTGGGCTGGATGGACCTTTGGTCTGACCCACTATGGCCGCTCTTATATTCTTAAGCATTATGCCCTGTGTTAATACAGCAGTACCCAGAGTGGGTATCCTAACGGGGAGAGGCAGAACATTTCAGCTCCAGGACTCTGCTTGGTGGGCGGCCGGTCTCCTTCAACTAGCATTACCCTCTCCACGCTCTTAAAAAGCCAAGTAATCTGTACTAATGGCACAAAGATTCCCGCGGGATCTAACGAGGCAACTAACCCCGCGCCCCCGCCCCGGCCAAGCAGAGGACACCGGTACAGAAGCAGGCAGCGAGAGGGTCACCTTGGGCTTATCAGCCGCCCGGGGGGGGGGGGGGTAAGGCGGCTCCCCGCCCAGCTCCCCAGCCCCCCAGCATGGGCTGCGCTGCCCAGCCCGCCCAGAGCCACCCCGCCGCAGCTGGCGCTAAACCCTGCTACGGGGCCCAGCTCGACCCCGGCCCGCCCCGCCTCGCCTCGCCTCCCTGGCTGCCGGGAGCCCCCAGCCGTCCTGCCCGCGGCCGGGCCGCACCCACCACGGCCACCCGGGCCCCGCGCAGGCGGCGGGCGGAGCCGTGGAGCGAGGCTCGCCCGCTCGGGGCCGCCCGCAGCAGCAGCCGCGCCGCCAGCATGGCCGGGCTCAGGGGAGGCGCGGGCTGGAGTCGCCGCAGGGGCCCGGGAGCCGGGCGGGTGCAGCAGCGAGCCCCAGGGCGCGGCCGGCCGGGCCTTGCAGCCGCACAGCGCCGGCTAGAGGCGGGAGGTCCCCGGCCGGGGCCGGGCTTCGCCTTCTGCCTGCTCCGTGCTGGGCGTCTCAGGGCACCCGCAGAGCGCCCTGGGCGGGCGGGCCGGCCACAGGCACTCGTGCCTCGCCCCCATCCTCTCCTCAGCCCGCCCCCGCTGCCCCCTTCTTGGTGTCTCCGCTGGGGCCCGCCGGGAGCCCCACTAGCACCTGCAGGACTGCGAGCTCAGCCCGGGTAGCGTGACCAGGCAGCCAGTGTGAAAAATCGGGACGGGGGGTAATAGGAGCCTATACAAGAAAAAGACCCCCAAATCGGGACTGTCCCTATAAAATCGGGACGTCTAGTCACCCCAATCCCGGGTAGCAAGTGCTAGATGCCCAGCAGTAGTTGCAGGATCAGACCCTCAGATCACTGACCATCCCGACCTGCCTTTGCAAAAAGCGCTGTATAAATTTAAATGAATTTTAATAATTATTCACATTGAAACTTGGTGCTAACCATTCAGACCCCTCCTTCAAAAATGCCCACAACCAAGACACATTTTCATGGGATTTACGATTAAGCTCAAATTTGGGGTGCTAGGTCTCATAGTTGCTGTTTTCCTTGAAGCCACAGCTCCTGAAATCATATACCTACAGAACCCCAGCTTTTTGTTTGGTGTTTATTTTTTTAAAACAGAGGTTTCTTGCCTTCTTGGTTGCAGAGAAAAGCTTGAAAACATTAGCTGACTGTTCCTGCATTGTTCAAAGATTAGAAGACAAATAAAAATCCAAAAATACCTTATTTCTTTTTTAAATCTCACAATTTTTGAATACTCAGGTTTTGGTAAAATTGTTAGTTCACTATTACAGCTAAAATAAACCCAGGCAGCAGAAGCCCAGTAGTAGGGT